TTATCTGTAAAAAGCATATAAAAGTAATCTTTAGCAATTAATTTAAATTAAAAATCAAGAAAAATAGAAGCTGATCGTTCAACTTACATTTTGATGAAGAGGTGGTTGGTTGGGGAGGTAAAGAGACGTAGGTAGAGTTTAGTCGAGTTTGGGGAGATAGAGATGGGCGGGGACGCCAGCTTTGTCGAGGGAGGAATGAACGACAAGCTTCAAGGGAGAACAAGAGCTTTGAGTTGTTGACGGGGGAATAGCGCATCAGAGACTGGAGACCGAAAGGGAAATAGAGCTAGAGTCGATGGGAAAGAGAGCGGAATGTTAAATACTGAGAGAGGAGCAATCCACCGATTTGTGGAGTCAAAGCTGAAGGGTGGAGGCGGATAGAAACAAAGGAGAAAACTCTAACCCCTGGATTCCCCTCTTACCTATATATATAGGTAGCATTTGTAAATAAAAAATAATAAGTAAATTTGTAATAAGTGCAATTAATAGGACTAAAATGTAAAAAGTTATCGAATAGTTAATGAACTCTTTAATCAAACATACATTTGGTTAAATTCTATTCATTTATAAGACGAATACTAAAAATTATTTGTTTAATACTAAATGAACTGTCGAATCGAACTTGATCGAATATCTGGACGAATAATAATAAAACTGTTTATTAATTATTCGGTTCACTTCCACCCCTACTTATGGTTCTTCCTCATAGTCACCCGTTAGGATGATGTCAGCAACATATACAATCAAAACTGCTATTTTCTTCTCTGGAGAAAACTTCACGAACAATGTGTGATCTGCTTGGCATTGAGTGATCCATATCTAATTACTGACTTTACAAACCTGTCAAATCATGCGTGAGAAGACTACTTGAGCCCGTATAGGGATTTCTTGAGTTTGCATACCTGGTTGTTATTGACGGTAGTTTCCAGTCCTGGAGGTATTTTCATGTACACTTCTTCTAGGTCACCATTCAAGAATGCGTTCTTAACATCTAATTGGTGCAAAGACTAATCTTGGTTTTACCGCAAAAGAAAGGAGGACTCTGATAGTATTTAGCTTGGCCACTGGAGCAAACATCTCCTAATAATCTATTCCATAAGATTGAGTAAACCCTTTGGCGACCAGCCGAGCCTTTAACCTCTCAATGCACCAGCCGAGCCTTTAACCTCTCAATGCTTCCGTCAGCCTTATGTTTGATAATAAAGACCCACTTACAGCCAACCGGTTTCTTCTTGGGAGGAAGATCTATTATCACCCATGTGCCATTCTTCTCCAATCCTCTGATTTCTTCACTAACTGCCTTTCTCCATTCTGGATTCTTGAGAGCCTTCTGGACAGAGTTAGGAACCTGTACACTATCAAGAGTAGACACAAAGGCTTTGTAGGATAGTGACAGTCCTTCATTTGAGATAAATTGGCAAATAGGATGATCTATACAAGTTCTGACACCCTTTCTCAGAGCAATTGGAATATTTAAATCATTCATGGTAGGTGTTGTAGTCTCAAGATCAGTGTTTTGCTTACCAGAGTGAATTTGAGAAGGCATTGGATCCGGATTAGCTTCTTGGTCAAGTATGAGAGAAGTTGTGTGCTCTATCTCCTTTCCAGATTTCTTCCTCCGGGAGTAAACAAGTAGCTCCTTGTTTGCACTTTGTTGAGGACTGTTTCGGACAGGGGAAGGACTTTGACCCTTAGGTTGTGGAGAAGAGGTTGTATGGTCAATGGTTCCTAGTTGAGGAGTAAACTGTGAGATGGGTGATGAATTAGGCTGAAGTGAGAGTGATGTGTCCTTAGACCCGGACTGCATATCAAGATCCCAAAGCTGATATTCACTTATGGTCTCCCCCTGAATTGCAGGTTTGGGAAAAAAGGGTTGATGTTCGAAAAAGATCACATCCATTGGGTTGTAGACTCTTTTTGTTATGGGGGAATAGCACTTATAACCCTTTTAGTGTGATGAATACCCAAGAAAGATACATTTGATGAATTTTGTATCTAACTTGCCATGGTTTTGAGATTGTATATGGACAAATGCAGAACACCCAAACACTTTAGGGTATAAAGACGATATGAATTTAGTGTGTGGGAAGTTTTGGAGAAGAATTTTACATGGAATTTGGAATTTGAGGACTCTGAAGGGCATTCCGTTGATGAGGTATGTAGCTGTGAGTATTGCTTCTCCCCAGAAATGTTTTGGCACATGGGTTAAGAACATGAGAGACCTAACTACCTCCAACAGGTGTCTGTTTTTCCTCTCTGTAACCCCATTTTGTTGGGGAGTGCCAACACAGGAGCTTATGTGGATAATACCTTGACTCAGGAGATAGGTTTCTAGGATAGATTTGTAGAATTCTTTGGCATTGTCAGTTCTGAGAACTTGAATCTTGGTCTGGAATTGTGTTTGAATCATGGAGTTGAAATTTTAGAAAATTTGTCCCACTTCAAACTTTTCTTTCATGAGGAACACCCATGTCAATCTAGTATGATCATCAACAAAGGATACAAACCATCGTGCTCCCGTTATATTCCTTACCCTTGAGGGGCCCTATACATCAATTAAAGCGAAGGGACGAGATGGTTTGTATGAGGAATTTGGATAGCTATTATGAGTGTGTTTAGATTTTTGACAAACTTCACAATCAAAAAACTTGGGATTTTTATTGATAAATAACGATGGAAATAGTTTTTTGAGGTACATGAAATTCGGATGACCAAGACAATAGTGCCATAACATAACTTCACTATCTTTATTGACACAAGTATTTAAACATGACTGACTCTTAAACGAAACACATCTCGAATTCTGAATTTGGCTTCCTGGAGGATTATCATATTTGAGGAGATAGAGTCCAGAACACATCTCAGCACTGCCAATCGTCTTCCCTGAATCCAATTCCTGAAATTCACAATGGTTAGGGAAAAATTTAGTTACACAGTTGAGATCACGAGTTAATTTGCTAATGGAGAGTAAATTGCAGTCCAAATTAGGAACATGAAGAACCAACTGTAGGATTACATCCTTTGTGATTCTGATTAAACTTGTTCCCTTAACCTTGGATAGAGACCATCTGCTATTCGGACATCATAATTCTCAGGACATGGGCTGTACTCGTGAAATATGGTAGCATCTCCCGTCATATGATCTGATGCTCCTGAGTCAATAATCCAAGGACTTGTGTAACATTTGTTAACAGCAAAGGCCTTTGAAAGATTACTTTTATGTGCTAACATGCTAGACTAGGAGGAATCAGTTTTTGGCGGAGATGAAACATTCTGACTAAACAGTTTGTGCAGAACTTCAAGTTGTTCTCTAGTGAATGGATTATTCTCGGCTTGAGTAGAACTTGTATGACTCTCCGTGTCGTCTGAGATGGCTGCAACATTGACTCGGCTTTCTCTGTCGTTGTTTGGTCGAGATGGCTTCCAATTAGCGGGTTTGCCATGGATTTTCCAGCAATTCTCCCTGAGATGTCCTGGCTTGCGGCAGTGATCACACCACAGTCTTCCTTTCCTCTGCCTGTTCTCATGGGAGTTGTTTGTCTGAGGTCCACAGGCTGCTAATGCAGATCCGTCAAATGTTGGAGCAGAGTTTTGTGATCCCATCATTAACTTCTTTCTGCTTTCCTCTTGACGAACTTCAGAGAAGGCCTTCCTGATGCTTGGAAGAGGTTTCATAGCCATCACTCTCCACCTGACTTCGTTTAGGTTTTCGTTGAGACCAAGAAGAAATTTTAAAGTTCTTTTCTGCTCCATGATTTTCCTGTACAGTTTTGTGTCCTCGGTGCACTTCCATGGATGGATTTCAAACATGTCAAGGTGTTGCCAGTGTCGGGTGAGGGTATTGAACTATTGAGTGACTGTGAGATCTCCTTGGCGCAGGTTATGTAGGGCGGCTTCAACCTCAAAGAGTTCTAAAGTGTTTACAGAACTGGAATATGTTTTCCTCGTTGCATCCCATATCTCCTTTGCAGTCTCGTATAGGAGAAAATTTTCTCATATTTCATTGGTCATTGAGTTGATCAGCCAAGACATGATCATGTGATTCTCAATCTTCCATGTCCTAAATTTAGGATCTTTCTTTTCTAAAATTGTGACTTCACCAGTGAGGTATTCGTCCTTGCCTTTCCCACAAATGAACATCATTACTGATTGGGACCATTAAAGATAATTGTGGCCATTGAGTTTATGACCAGTGGTGAGAATAGGAGTGCCTTCTGTTCCTCCATGATGGCTGTGGGCTCGAGCCAATTTGGGGCTGGAGGTCACTTCTGATGTCGAACCTGATTTCTCAGTAGCCATGCCGTACTTGGTCATGAGGGAGAATTAGGCTTAGGTCTCAGAATGGCTCTGATACCATGTAGATTTTGAGAGAATGAAAAACTCTGTTTTTCTCAATATTCTTGAATGAAACGTATAGCTATATATATAGAAAAGCTAACCCTAACACACAATCCTAGGAATATGTGAAAAGCCTGTGTTTCTTGGGCAGCGCTCTTGCTACTGCTCCGCAGGCTACCATTTGATTCTCTTAAACCTTTAACTTTATTTACTATTCTTATTCATAGGTAACTTTTGTCTAACAATCTAGAAGAATTAGACTCGTATTTTAATAATGCTTTCCTTGGGTATATTACAAGAGATGCCTCTAATAGATTGCAAATGTTGGTTGGTTTTCATTGATTATTTGCATGATTACATCCTTTTAATTTCTTACTTCGGAAGAAATAAGTAAAGAAAAAAAGAAAACAAATGTGAACTACAGTAGTATAAATATCTTCTCATTGTTGATAATGAAAAAATCAGAATGTGGGAGATTTTTAACACTCTCTTCTATAGATTTTTGTATAATTTATGAGCTCCATAAAGGCAAATCTACTCTGGACATGGAATCCATTATCAAATTCTAGTCTGTAACATTGAATAGCACGTGCATCTCCGGTCAGGTGTTGATTTTCAAATATAGTTTTTACAACTGTTAAACTTATAATATTGTATGCTAGATTTTTTCTTGCAGATACTGTTATTGAGGAAATTACTTTTGGGTGGCCACGACAGAAAGCAGATAATGCAATGAGGGAGCAACTCGGTTTGAGACTTCAATATGCAATTAATGCGGTACCTGAAATTGTTCTATAAGTCTATGTATGTTTCTAAAGGTTGCTTGCAGCTTCAGCTAAGTAATTAAATTACTGAGTCATAACATCCAGATAAATCTATTTCAGGTTGGTTTAAATACTATCCCTTTAGATGAAGACCCACATTCTCTTAGCGGTGGCTTCAAGAGACGCCTTGCCTTGGCAATTCAATTGGTAGGAAACTATAGATTACTGGTACATCTGTAAATCAATATGATTAATCTCTATAAAAATGCACTATCTGATAGCAAGTGTGCTTCTCAGGTTAATAAACCAGACCTCTTGCTATTAGACGAGCCTCTAGCAGGCCTTGGTATGGACTTTCCTTTCCTGTTTAATATTTGTTTTCTAATTTTCTTATGTGTTTCTCATCAATTATATTACCATCAATTGTACTTTAGAGGCTACGGTCTGATTTTGACATCTTTTGAATGTCTAAACATTGTACGCATGGTATTTGTTTGTGCAAATCCTTGTAATCTGTTTCTCCAATTGAAAACATGGTACAACTTTTATGAAAATTTCGCTGATGAAATCAGATTGGAAAGCTCGTGCGGATGTTGTGAAGTTGCTTAAGCACCTAAAGAAAGAGCTAACTTTACTTGTCGTCAGCCATGATCTCAGGTGAGTACACCATCTCTATATACTTCTCTGGCTGCTAAGTAAACAGTGCTCATTTTTACCTTATATTATATCTGTGACTGTATATTATATCCGTGGTGTATAAATCATCATTGCCCTTAACAAAGTCATTATAACATGAAGTTATGTTCTTCTGCCTCCGACAAAATCTGACTGTTTTGTGGGTCACTGTACTAAATTAGGTTCTTTATATGTGCAAAACAACCATATATATATATGTACTAGTCAAATATGCATATGTTGTAGAAGAAAAAGCAATATATAGCCATGCATTTTTTTTTTCTGAAGTTTGGACCAAGAATCTCTTAGATTGTTTAGTAAAAGGTCCTTATGAAGTTCATTCAAACTATTAGATCTACCTATTCGCAGTGATGATTTCCTGTCCCTACTATCTGAGAACTATTTGTTAAGGTAAGGATTTTCTTTTCTTGCGGACCTTTTGGGGGTTTTATTTTCTTTTCCCTGCTTTTTGCTGTGTTACATTCATCCTCTTCTGTCTTGATACAACTCTGAATACCTATCCTTCTTGTTGGCCCCTCCTTAATTTTTTTTTCTGTATGCCTTGGTACCATCTTTGTTCTCCATCAGCTTGTGATGAGGACAATAATGTCAATTTTCATATTGTTATTTGACTTTCTTTTATTTTAGTTTTGAATAAGGAAGATTTGGCAAGTTTGATCATATCTTAATTTAGTTTTAATTGTGAGAAATTTGAGGAATTTTTCTATTTTGGTAGGATTTTAATTTTTGAATTTTGAATTTTGAATTTTAAATTTTGAATTTTGGGTCAAGTTTAGTAGTTAATCAGTTTTTAATATCTGAGTAATTTGAGGAATCTGATCAATTTTGAGAGATTTTGTAATTGCTCTATAAAAGCACGGATGTAATCAGAATGAAAGAATAATGAAGAATTGAATGAAATATTTTGTTAGGTAATTTTGTGTGAAGCCGAATGTTGGTGTGAAACATCGGGTGTGAAACCCTAGGCCGATTCTTCTTCTCCTCTTCACAACCGCCAATCTCCTCTTCACAGCTGCCAATCTCGTCTTTCACAGTCGACAACCTCCCACAAAAACGCCACGCCCTCCCCTAATCCCCTCCCCCTCAGGCCATCCGACTCCTCTCCAAACAGCTGTGTTATTCTCCTCCCTAAGCAGCCGCGCTCAGCCCTTCACCTTCTCCACTTGTTGCGGCCTCCTTTCCCGTTCAGTCCCCAACTCCATCTCACACAGCCATCGCTCCTCCCTGCTTCTCCACCTACAAACAGCCCGCCAAAACCCCCTGCTTCCTTCAATGAAGTCGC